CAGTAGGGAGCAGTGCTACTCATCCAAAAGCTATGTCTCCCTGGTGGTTTGAACCCAGCAGCAGCTCCCTGGAGAAAAGATGGGCAATGTACAGCCTGGGAAACCCACTGGTGGGTCACCTCTGAGTTGTTCTGATTCACAGACAGTGAGTTCCTTCTGTAGAGATTATCAGCAGACATCATCAGTCACAATTTAACATTAAGAAAGTAGTGGCATTATTGTAGAAATAGAAATATAACAAGAAAAACGTGTATGAGGATCTAAGGGGGAGGGGGCAGAGAGGTGAAGACGGGCAGGAGGGGAAGTTAATCATAGGGTCGCACAATTTGATGGGTGGAGGGAGAGGTAGGTAAAGGAAATGGGAAAGAGCCAGTGTGAAAAGCAATGCATATGAACTCTGTAAGCAAACCAGTATAAAATAAAAATTTTATTTTTTAAAAAAAGAAAGTTGTAGCTCATTACAAGTAGGTTCTCATGTGTGGGATGAATTATGAAACTGTGGAGAAGTACTTGTCTGAGGACAGGAACTCATGTATCAGCCCCATCAGTACTTCCTTCCCACCACTCACATTGCTAGTACGTACAGGTTAAAAGCAACTGCTCCCATGATAGTGAAAGCTGACCAGAGCAAAAGAGAATGCGGCAAATCACTCTACCTCAACATGTGTGATTGGGTGTGCTGACTATGGAATAGACCAGGAATTATTCATATGCAAGTTCAAATTGAAGCTAAAGAAAAGAAAAACAAGGCCATAAAAACTAAAGTATTGAATTGGGTTTATCCTACTTGAATTTAAAAATCATCTCAAGAATAGGTTTGAGGCTCTGAACACTAAAGGATCAAAGACCAGATGAGTTGTGAGATATCAAAGATTCATCTTTGAAGAGAGCAAAAGGTCAATATGAAGACAGAGAGAAAGAAAAGATCAAAACAAATGTCAGAAGAGACTTTGAAAATTGCACTGGAGCGTCAAATAGTCAAAACAAAAGGAAGAGATGCTGAAATAAAAGAGAGGCACAGAAGATTTCAAAGAGCAGGTAGAGGAAACAAAGTATTATAGTAAACTGCATAAAGAGCTGGCACTGGAGAATAAAAAAGAAAGAACTTGCTTGGCATTTCTCCAACTGAAAGAATGGAAAACAAATTCAAGCCTAGAAATGCGATGGGAAAAATCTTGAATGATCCAGAGAGCATCAAAAGAAGCTAGAGGGGCTAACAGAGGCTATGTAAAACAAGAATAAGGTGCTCCTTATAAGTCACAGTTTTGTAACCTGCTATGCATCTGAGAGCTGGACAATGAATGAGGACAGGAGAAGAACTGATGCATTTGAATTGTTGGAGAAGAATACTGTACATTGACTCATTTATTCTTTCTTTCTCTCCCTCCATGGAGTCCCTGGGTGGCCCAGGTAGTTGAGTGCTTGACTAATAATGGGAAAGTTTGCTGTGGAGCCCATCCCAACAGCATCTCAGAACACAGTCCTGGCCATCTGCTTCTACAAGGTCTCAGCCATGAAAACCCAATGGAGCCATTCTAGTCTGCATACTTAGGGTCACCAGACATCAGAACAGACTGCAGAGCCACCACCACCATCATTGTCACTCCCTCATTTTCTCTCTGGGAAATCTCTCCAACTCTCAGCCACCCCACTGTCTCCTTTATTTTCATACAGGATTCTATCTGATATTCTTCAGAAGCCCTGGTCAGGGTGCTTCTTTTTGTCCTTATGTGTAAAACACAAGGGCACCAGGTCCTTTCAGCTCCATGATGTGGGTCCTGTGGCAACCGTGCACTCTCCTGTCCTCCTGCCTCTGGAGAAGATCCAAGCTCTGCTCCAGTCTGCACTCCCATCCACCTCCCTAAGTTCTATGGGAGCGCACACAGGCAGCACTCAGGAATAATGAGGACTCACACAGGTCACTGCACGCATGACCCAGAAGCCACCTTTCTGAAGCTGTTATCTGGGAAGGGAAGGGAAGATCCATCAACTTGAAAAAAACACCCCGTGAGCATTCCAGCAATTCTGATTGTACCCTGAGCTTGAAGAGGTTGTTTTCCTAAACTCTGAAACCTGGACTCTTTTGGCAGGAGCTCAAATTGACTGAGTCATTGCCTGTTTATATCCAAAGGCCCACGTCTCCATAACAAAAAGCTACAAACGAGAAGGGAACTAGCATTCAATCAGTAGGGAATGTTGTGTCTTTATTTCAGGAAGAAGTCACTCCAAGGGCAGTTACCAACTCCACACACCGTGGACCAGCTCTGTGCTTTACCACTGGCCACAACCAGAGCTCAACTGTATCATTTTTCCTTTCCACATTTTTCCTTTCCATTAGAGCCAGTAGTTCAGAGAAAACAGTATACATGTTGACAGGGTAATAAAACTCCATTACCACTGAGTCAAGTTTGACTCCTAGTGACCCGATAGGACACAGTAAAATTGTCCCTTTGGGTTTCCGAGGCTGTAATCTTTTACTGATACAGACTGTCATCTGTGACTTCAGAGTGGCCAGTGATTTTGATTCAGAACTGTTGTTGCTGTTGTTGTCAGGTGCTGTCAAGGTGACTATGAGACAGAGGGACCCTTTGAATATCAGACCTAAATGTTGCCCTAACCTGGACCATCACCATACTCTGTCATGCTCAAGCCCATTGTAACAGTCACACGTTAATCCGTCTCATTGAGGCCCGTCTTCTCTTTCAACGATCCCTCCACCTTTCCCAGAACAATGTCTTTTTCCAAGGACTGACCCCTCCTGACAGGGCTCGTCTAAGGCATAAGAAATCATTTCAAAGTCACTCTAGTGGCTTAGTCCATAGGGAGCTGCACCACTAAACCAAAGGCCACACTTTTCTGGTGGTTCGAATCAATCCATCAGCAGCAACTCAAGAGAAAGACGAGCAGTCTCCTCCTGTTCAATCTACAACTTCAGAAACTCAATGGAGGGCCAGCAATGAGTTGGTTCCAACTTGATGACAATGACCTAGATGTTGGAGCTTCAAAGGAATTTAGTGGTACGTCATCCAGCCCAGATTAAGGAAACAAAAGCTCAGTGGAATAATGAAATGCTGCTGCTGGCTATGCAAACAATTTCTGGCACTTTAGTGCTAAGCTTCACATAAATGAAACCTACTAGGTTTTAGCACTCTGAATATTTTCAAGAAAATGCTATAAAAAATAAGGCATATAGTAATGTTAAAATAGATCAATATTTTAAAATAAGTGACTAATAATATTGAAATAACTGTGAGTGATTCTTTGATCTATAAACATTAATGTAGGACAGAAGTTTATGGTTAGCTAGTTTTTCCAAGGTTACCTTTGTAATGGTTCACCTTTGTGTCAGCTCTGTATGCAGTCGCCCTGCTCTGAACTCTGTGACAGAAATCAAGAGTCAAGTGCAAACACCTGAACTTCACATAACAAAGCTGAACTTTCACCTCCTTAAAATGACAAATAATTCAAGCAACTACCTCACAAGGTTCCATGACAAGTATTAATTTGGAGCCAATGAATAATAAAGAACGAACATTGACATACAGTTACTGTTCTTGGTTGCCGCTAAGTTGAATGCAAGTTAACAAAAGATCTGCACTCTGTCCTATACTGTGCCATCCTCATCATCTCTGAGCCCACTGCTGCAGCCACTGTGTCAATCTATCCGGTTTCCTCTCTTTCACTGACCCTCCACTTTACTTTTTTATAATGACTTTTTTGTAATGAAACATATATATTTTTTACAGCATATTCTTTCCATTTAATCCCCCCCATTCATTCATTGTTGCACATTTTCCTCCCTGCCCATCTCTTTACTTTTAATGACAAGTTCACAGTCAAAGTAAACTATGCTGTCCTGAAAACTATCTCTATTAAGTCCTTTAATGTGGAAATACAAACTCTTTCAATGTTCATGAATAAATCACCAGGCACAATGATGGTTCAGTGGTAGGTTCTTACCATCCACAGAGGGGACTTGTGCTCAAGTCTCATCAATGTTCCTCTCAGGGAGCCTCCCGGTCTATCTGTGGGAGCTGACATGATGCTGACGCTGATGCTGAGTGGGTTTCAGCAGAGCTTCCAGATTAAGAGGAATTAAGAAGAAAGGTCTATTGATGGCTTTCCAAAGCCCAGCCAAGGAAATCCCTACGGATCACATTAGTGTGACCCACAATCGGTCACAGGACAAGTACGTGACAAGGCTGTGCTGCTTTCTTCTCTGTGAGGGAGCACCATGCCTCTGATGCCTCGATCAACATGAGTAACAGATTTCCATCATGAGCCTACCCACACTGCATTTCGAGAAGTTATGTGCTGTCAAGTTGCCTGCAACTCACAGCGACCCTGTGTATAGCAGCTCTGGAGCCTGCCCTGTCCTGAGCCAGTCTCGCTGACTCTGAAACACCTACCCCTGTTACACCAATACTGTATCAAACCATTTCACTCTTCCGAGCACGATGTACTTCTCCAAGGACTGGTCCCTCCTGGCCATGTGCCCAAAGTATGTGAGATGGAGCTTCAAAATCCTAGCCTCCAAGGAGAAACTTGGTTTAACCCTCTCCTAGACAGACTTGTTTGTTTTCTTGGTGGTCCATGGTATGTTCAAGACTCTTCTCCAGCAACAACTCAAAAGCATTAATTCTTCTGTCATCCTTAGGCTTTGTGCAGCTCTCTGATGCATAGTAAGTAATTTTACAAAGTATCTTTCACAAAAATCAATTTTGAAATAAAATTTTAAAAAAGGGGAGGGAAGTGGAACTGGATTCACAAACTAAAGTCCTGGGGGCAACCGTGGTTACTAACAGAAAGGTGTCTGAACTCACAAGCAGTAAGTCTGGTTTTTGTAGAAAGGAAATCATTATCAGTTCTACAACCATATTATTACCTCTGTCAAGGTTAGTAACATAGGAAAATTCAAATCGGGCACTATTAAGGCTCACAAAGGTGGGGCATCAGCCGAGATTCTCCCATTGGGAACACGATAGCACTCCAGCTCTTACCTCTTGGTGATCTGGCTTGGCTCCTGCAGATCTGGATCAAGGTCAAAGACCTCATTGTCCAGCAGTCTTCGGAGAGTCACATCTGCCAGCTGCTCCATTATCTTGAATACCTCATCAAGGTTGAAGAACATGGAGAAGTCCCGTTCTTTATTTTGTGTGGTGACTCGGATGGTATCCGTCAGAAAGACATTAGAAGTCCTCTCCAACTTCTGTATATCAACCCAAGGGATTACAAGTTTAACTACAAGAGAAAAAAGACAAATACATATTTTACTCTAAAATTTGAGCCAAACTTGAGCACCTCAGCAAACAGCTTCACAAGGCTTTCCTTAAGCCAAAACACAAAACCTTTTAAACCTGAGCAAGAAAGCAGAAACATGAAATTGCTCGAGAGCTGTCTGTTAGAAGCACAACTCATTTTCTTTTTTTAATTTATTTTTGAGTGAAGGCTTACAAATGATACTGGAGCTTTTTAAATTATTATTAAATAATTTCCAGACATTTTGTTTTATAAAATTAATTGATATTGGTGTCATTAGTTAACTTCAATGTCTAATCAAACCCTTTTTGATTGGAGGGAGGACTGGTGGCCTAGAGGTAAGATACTATGATGCAATTTCCAAGGTACGTGGTTTAAATCCAGCAGCTGCTCCATGGAGGAAAGATGACTAATCTCTCACATGATTTTACAGCCTCTGAAAACATGCTAGAGGGTCAGCTATGAGTCAGTTCTGACTCAATGGCAAACAACAACAAACCCCCCTGTGTTATTGTATTTCTCTTCACCCAACTTTACTATTTCTTAATTTCTACTCCTCTCTCCTTCCT